CCGCCGTTACATTGGCAGGTTGTTTGTTGTTAACCCCCCCCGTTACACCACTAAATTTGTTCGATAATAATATTCCTTGTTATTTTGTAAAGCCGACGGTGCTAGCTCAAACATGCCCTGATCTCCAAGAAAATTTACAGGGGTGTTTCCTAGATAAATACACAACACTAAAACTTTGAACAGCATTGTAGGACCATTTTTTTATTTTTTTTTTTGGAGGGCAACGGTCACACACTAACCCCCACTCTTGGACGTGGTCAGTTTTGGAGTGGCGCGCCCCCTGAACTGGGGTCCGCACTTGCTGGGGAGGATACTTCCTAAGCTAGCTGGGTGATGGGTATCATGTGATGACCCAGAGAAGGTGGTGAATGTGTTTTGTTTGGGCCTTTGAGATTGTACTAACTCTGTTTGTAACGTGGAGAAGTCATTAAAAGTTTCTATCGGAGGGTCTGACTATGGGTGTAGAAGGCCGCTCCGGATCTATGATGTTTTGGTCCACTGAGCCGTCTGTGAAGTATGATGCTGCCTCGGCCGGTGTCTCAGTGGCTATGGGTGCCTGAGTTATTCTTTTGAGGTCCTCCTTCTGGAGGTTGGCTTTGCTATAACTTAGTTCTGCGCTGCCCTTACTTTGCAGTCGATTCATACCTTTGGTGGCGTTCTGCAACATCGCTGCGCCGTCTCAATTTTGACTCATTCCCTTCCATGTCCATGTGGTGTTCTCGCTGTATATTTGTAATTGGTTTTCCTTCTCCTGGGTTCCTGTTGGTGTCAATGCTTCCGGAAAGTGGGTATGACGGGTGGAAACACGTTCCCTCTCCCCCTGATGGGATGTTCCCAATTCTGAAGCGCTGAGTGTTGGGAACCCTCCTTGGGTGGATGTCGAGGTGTAGCAGCAAGACACTCCTGATTCCGGCGGTTGACAACGTGTGTCTCGTGCATACCTCGCTGTGGTTGTCATCCCTTCACTCGTTTCCAGAAAGGGTTTTCCTCATGGTAATGACAGCATCTCACCAAAGTCCTCCGTATCGCCTAGAGTCTGAAGTTGTTCCATATGATTTTTCATATTCTACATCGTTGCCGTCAATTGGGTGAGCGTCTGCTGATAACCTCCGATAACCCTATTTAACTGGCCTGTTGTTTCATCCTTCTCTCGGGTGAAAAAGTTTCTCTACTTCGCCCTGGCTGTATGAGTGACCGGTTAGCATCTTCGTCGTTCAGGGCCTCCAGGTCTTCTACCTGGCTAGGATCGTCTCCTCTGCCTTGTTTCCTTCCATGACTGGAGAAGCGATATCATGCAACTGAAGTTATACAAGCTATGTCATACAATCTGAAGTCATGTAAGCGATGTCATACAACTGAAGTTGCATAAGCGATGTCATACAACTGAAATAATATAAGCGATGTCATACAATCATGACCACAGTGGTGTCACACGAGCGACGTCCCTCAAACGAGTGACGTGCACTACACACAAGTGATGTCACACTAACACAACCACAGTGATGTCATACACGAGCGACGATGTCACACTAAGACACCCACAGTGATGTCACACACGAGCGACGTCCTTGCTTCATTACTGAAATAGATACATTCCATTGAATGTATTCTATTTCGTATTCTCAACCTGTAATAGGGCCATCACTACTCACACAACGTTACTTGTCTGTACACTTTGAACACCGTCTTTCCCGCGTGTTCGTACGAATATTACTGACCCAGAGTCCACTATGTCAAGAATGAACGATAACACTCCCGCACGCCCGTATGAAAAATTTTGCAGAGACCAGTCCTTTCTGAAATGGCCGACACTGGACCACGTTTCTACACGTATTCAACCTACACCACTGGGTTTAACTATTGTTATACAGTACATATATACATATGTACACACATACACATATATACATACATATACATATAACTTGAATGTTGTACACACACTTAACCCACAAACTCCATACTCCATCTGTGATGGAATTACTACATCACGTCAGGCCCCTCATAACACCTCCTGTGAGGGAACTACTACTCCACGTGATGCCCCTCATAACACCATCTGTGAGGGAGTTACTACACTAAGTGTCTGCTGTTCAAAACCTCAGCGCACATGATCAACGTGACCTCCACTGTAAACATTAATCTGTATGTTCACTGTATGTTCCTTTACCTTTCTCTAGTGAAGACTTTTGTTAAACCACTAATGTCAATGTATGTAATAAGTCATTTATGTCCAATGTATATTTTCAGCCTTCAGGCTGCAGAACTTTTTCAGAACTTTTAAACCGTTAATTATTATTATTATAATTATTATTAACTCCTTTTCGCTGGGTTTAACTATTATATATATAGGGATCACACTTTAGTCGATGATTCACAAATTAACAAAAAGACGTCTCCGCTCTCCTGCTGCGTAGTTGTGGGGGTGAGTCGGTCTCCCTGAAGTGTCTGACTGTCGAGTCACTTGGTAGTTTAGACTGTTCCTGAGTCTAGGACCCACGTTTTTTACTTTAACCGCCCAATGAGCGACTGTGGGTTAATGAGACCCTTACACGTAGGGCTCGATTGTTCTTTATTCGGTCAAAACCTGCAAAGTAGAAATTACATATGTTACATATGAGATAATTAATTCAATCGTATGTTCCATCACTATTAGCGACAGCATATAGTATATTTGAGTAGAGTAGCGTGTTAAACCATATAAAACTTACGTGTTTCGGGTCTAATATAGGACTTATTTAATTCCCCGACTTGATCGGTCACTGGACGGATAGAGACTGTCTTCTGAACCCCACAGGGAGTGAGTCAGCCTGAGAGGAGAGCCATCTGTTTCACATTTAACACCCCAGCAGAGTTTGTCAACACCCTTTCTCTCTCTTCTAGTTTATCCTATTATGGCGGTAACATATCCTACTGTGGCGGTAACAATTACTATTGAACTTAACCAAGTTTGTACCTCCCCATTCAGAGTTGCTGCACAGATCTGCATTGATAGAAGTAATGATATCAGCTCTAGAAACAGATCTAGTTTGAGTTATGAAGAAGAGTGAAGAGTATATATTACTATAGCAATTGACATGCTTTGTGGAAAGCATAGTATCATGAAGAGAAACAGGGAAAACACAAACTTCTCAACTATGTTGGGTTTATTTGCTAATGTTTCGGAAAACCGTTTCCATCATCAGTCTAGAAAACACACAAAAAGTTTTAAAAATTGCAGGTAATATACCCAGAAAATCTTCTAAACTTTACCTTCAGCAAAACTTTCAAAGTAACATATTACAATTTACAACTAAAAATTATGGAAGACCTAAGTATAAAACCAAAATACAGGGGTAAAAATAAACTAAAACATGCAAGAGGTATTACCTGAATTGAGATGAGCTTTAGTGAGAGAAAAACAATTCATAGGAATCCCAAAGCCACATCACTGTACAGTATATAAAAAACTCAGCTGGACAGAGCTTTAAGGACAGGAAAAGATGACATGTCTAGGAAAAGAATGGATGTACGATAATCCTATGCATATATGTATAGGTATTTTTTCAATGTATAGTGCAGGAGTTGAAGATTAATCCAAACCTAGACACAACCTATCCTCACGAAACCCGAGATTCATGATGGGTTCAAGGGTTTCCAGGTCTATCTTGAGTACTTGGTACTGTACAGCACATTTATACTGTTCTTTGAAAGACCACATATTCAGACTACAAAGTGCTCTGCCATTGGCTGGCTGATGGAAGGCTCAATCATGAGCGGAGAAATTTATTTAGAACATGTGGTGGGCCAAAGTCCTGTCTCCCCAGTAGCTGTCAACTGTAAGGCTCATGGGGATAGTTGATTGGTATGGCTAATACTAATGGTTTTACCCAATTTTATCTGAGGTCACCATTATTCTAACTGTACTGACCAGTCCTAAGAAACCTTTCCAGTTATATAGCTGTGTGCCAAGAATCTTTGACAAACTTTGCAGCACATTGTTCAGTACGTACCCCAAAACAGGAGGCATACTTAACATTTCAACTTCAAAAAATTAAGAAATCAGGTGCTGGAGTTGTATTGCTACAGTCCAAGGAACATGGGGTGCTACCATACATAAGGGTGTTTTCAAGATAAAACTATAGTAGTTTGTAATGTTGGTTTCATATAGGCACTTTGCTTGGAGAAAAATAATTTGTCAAAGTTGATATTATACCTGCATCGTTATATTTGGGAAGCCACATTGATCAGCTTGAAGTTTTTTTTTTTTATTCACTCCCACTTACAAAATCATCATGATTTAGAACCTCCAGTGGATTTCATTTGTTTAAATGCCCTTTATTAGCTTGCAAAGTGTTAGGAACATTACTAACTGTTTCTGCTAAAGTGATGTTACTGCCGTTATATTATGAGCTTGGTGTACACAATACCAGTACAGTATTAGATTAAAAAAGTTTTGAGTTTGTAATCTTTATTCTTTCTATTTTTATTTTGTTGTGGATGACATTTTAATTAATGGAAACTTGGATGAAATTGAACATCATTCTTCTTACACCCTGAACCGTTCATTATGGTCACACTCAGAAATCGTTAACATTGTGTTTACTATCACATTGAGTTTACATTTGTCTTCATTTTCACATCTACGTGTATATTGTACTTGATGGAATTTCCCTTTCAAAACTCAACTTTTGACCCTTTGAGTACTGGGCAACTTTTCTTATCCCTATTACCTCATTCCTATCCTATATCCTTGCATCACAGCACTCCTGCCTACACCTCTGGCTTGACCCCATCACACATTTTCCAGTCTTGTTTCATTCAAGTTTGTTTCTTTGATCTTGACCTTAGTCACTTTTGTTGTCCTTTTTATAACAAATACTCAATGTAAAAAAGGATACAGGTTATAAGCAAATTAAAATGTTTAAAGTGCAAACCTAAATAGTTGATGTTTCTATCATCTTAGAATGTCTTACACCAATCCATGCTGTATGAGTGAAAGGATTAATGACAGTAGAATACACAGTCATCTCATTTATTTAGAATGTCAGTCTATGAGGGTACATTTTATTCCTGAGGCCAAATGGAGTGCCCAGATAACCAAAGAGCATTTTCTTATCCTCCCTCTTCTTGATGACAGACATAATCATACCATCAACAACAGCCTGATCCCTCTTGCGCTGCTGGGATGGAACATATTTCTGAAAAGTAAAAGTAATCAAATTAAAAAAAAACCTACTTACTGTATAAAAAGATATAATGTTACTCTTAGATTATCTTGGTTCAGCAATCAATGGAACAGGGATTTCTCTTTTACTGTGGTTAACTATGTTCACTTTCCCCATAAAAGTAGTGTAAAATAAAAATTATCAGTAGACCAGATCGCCATGATGATAGGAAGGAAGAAGAAAAGGGAAGTGAAATAAGAAGGGTGAGAAATGTGTGGCGACCATACAGGATAAAATTCAACATTTTACAATACAAATTTTAGGTTAATCAAAATTTTAATTCTATCATAATGGCTATCATTACATACACCAAATTAGTAGGACTTTCACCTAATAGTGTATAAGCCTTAAAGCATTTATATTTTAAAAGAGGGTGGGAATCAAAGGGTTGCCTTATTTTCTGTAATACCGAATACAGAAATGTACTACACAAGTGGGACAATAGACAAAGTGAAATGAATACAAATGAATAGGAGATAAAGGGTGGACTCAAGAAACTGGCGAGTGTAAGCATCCCATACTTGGCCCCTCGATATAAAATTTTTTGTGCACTTGCATTCAAAATACTCTAAATTCCAGAATGCATTTCACACTTCTTCGCTTGTCATTCGAGAATGTCTGTCGCAGTTTTCAGGTAAGAGAACCACAAAATGGACACCAAAATTACAGTCAACTTAAGACTACTGTATATTCATACCTCCTGCTTCTGCTCAAAGATGTCTCCTTCTTCCTTCTTTGCACGCTTTGCCTTAACCCGGCGGAAGTACTGATCGGTAAGGTGCTTGGGGATGCCAAATCCGCTAATATCAATCTTTGTAGCAGTGGCAATTAGATAAATTTGATTAACACGTCTCAAGGGACAAGCGTTGATCTTGAAGGGACCTGGAAAAAAAATAATAATAAATGAAAGTTTAAGCTAAAATGTTGCATGTGTATGTACAGTAATTGATTCAAGACACTGTCCTTACCAAACACAAGATATGATTAGATTGTTAACATTTCCCCCCCAACAAATGAAATGTGAGAAGCATGTCCAGTACCAAGTTCATGCAGGAATACCAAGAATCTTATTTAGAGTACTTAATGTTATGTCAAAATGCCCCAACTCTGTTGAAAATATTTATTCCATCTTGAGGGATAATCCTGCAAGTGACCAGTTATATTATTCACTGAAATTCAAGTTGTTTTCAAGATAACCATGTGTTTCTATCTCCAGCATACTAATGGTCAAGAGTGACATGAAACCACAGGCCATCAGACCTGTGCTCCTTTCTTTATAAAATGGAGTCTGACATAAAATTTGACGAGTCCTAAATGGTGTGGACTCACGATTAGGAGAATGGGAAGGGAGACTTGCATACAACCAATAAACAATGAAAAGGCAAATACATTTCACTAACAACTTTCTGGCTTGCTCAATGACTTCATCACCATTTTACAGCTAATTTCTGCACTTCCATGGAAACCTACCCACTTCTCATCTTGAAAGTGGGTTAAATTAACCTTGGATTGACCTATGTAGTTTTTCAGTCTAAAATCTTTTGCTGGAACAACTATCCAATAAACTTGCATAAATCTTGTCTTACCCTTCTCAGCACACCGAGTCTGACTGAAGAAAATGTATCTTTATTTGGAATACAGGAGTGTGTGCCAAGCAATACCTTGAAGGTATAAATTTTCATAAAATGCAGTTAAACCATCTCACAGTAACCCAAAGTTAAGGAGTAACTATATCAAGTAAATGACAGATGGATGCACATAATTTTTACAGGAAAGGTCCAGTCTAAACTAGCAATTTAATTGGGATAGGCTTTAACCCTTTGGCTGTTTGAGGTTACCCTAAGTAAAAAGGTTAAAAATAAATCTAAAGGAAGACTTAAGAATACAAAATTAATAAAGATAAATTATAAATATATCAATAATAAATATAACTAACCAGTAACTAGACACAGGCCACCAGCAAGTTGTTTCAGGAAAACTACTTTCTTGCCCTTGTGGATGCCTGCCAGAAGGATGCAAACTGTTCCAGGAGTAATGGAAGAACGTAGAGGCCTGAATCTGCTCCTGAAATAGAAATTAAATCTTCAAACTAATTGTATTTGGGTAAGATTGTCAAATCTTTTAGAATTGTTTATGAGTAGCAATGTGGAGGTATGAATGAAGTAGCTTATAATCAAACACAGCAATTGAAGCAGTACATTGACAGATAATTTGGTTTAGCGATTTAAAATTTCTAATGCCCATGGTTATTTAATGATCTGCAATTGTTCAGTTTAGCAATCTTCAACTCGCTGGGAAAAATTCAGGAGGGAAGTCGTAAACATGAGAATTCTATGTTCCAAGTGGGCAGCTCCACTGGGCGGGCAGTGTGGATGTATATGGGCAGGTGTAGGTGTGATGAGAACATGATGGGCAGTAGCGCAAAGGTAAGGGTGGGCGGGTGGTAGAGGAGAATTCACGACATAGCAGCAAGGCACAGGTGAGGGGAGGAAGCCCTGTCTGTCTCTACCACCATCACCGCCTTACTTGATAGCATATGTCAAGTGCCGACTCCTAAAAATTGCCTGTGACTAATATCTACATAGTGATATCTCTGTTAGCAGGAACAATTGGTGAGGAGCACTTCAGGGAAGGAGAGATTTCCGGGTAACGAGATGACACTCTCAAAGCTGGGAAAAATAAATAAATCCCTATCCCAGGAATTTTAAGGGTAACAAAAATTTTCTTGTAATTTCCAGAAAATGCACCACATTTTCATCTCTCAAAACCAGAAAAAAAATCCATCCCCAGAATTTTCTGGGTACTGGGGAAATTTTCTCAGAACTTCCAGAAATGTGCCCCCCAGAAAATTGTTCCCAAGACGGAATTTTTTGGAAAATTTGGGCGATAGGGACGATTTTCCGAGAAAACTTCAATTTCAGCTATCGGAAAGTTCTGGTTAACAGGGATTCCGGCTAACAGAGATATTACTGTTGAGTACAATAAATATTAAAATATGTGTAGAATTATGTAAATGTAAGTTTATTTTATGCAAGTGATGTCTGAAACTCACATTGGCGTGTTTGTTGTAGAGCAGAGTCCTCTGCTAATCGCATTCTATTTAGAATTGCCACATTATTTTAATTCCATTTTACAATTCACCTACCTATCCAGTATCATATAATCATGAGTAATATTAAATTAAGGCAAAAATAACAAAATTCAGTAGTATAAAATGTAAGTCAAGTGTGATACTGTATGTCTCCTGACCCACTCGGAGATTGTTGGCGACATTGTATTTTTCAAGGCCGACACTAAACCACTTGGAAAAGGATCCGTTACATAAGATACTACCTGAATTTTAGAAATCATTATCTAGCTTTTCCAACAGAAAAATAAAAATAAGTTTTGAGTATCCAGAGTTGGTACATATCTAGGTTTATTAGAACAAATTAAGCATGCTACTGGTGCGCCACTGATGAACCCAGGCCATTATTACACTAGTGTTCACTTTGCCTTTAAAGTGCTATCTGTACTTTACTACTCTGCATAATATTGATCGCTGTGCATTGTTGTTATTATTGTGACTGGTGTGTTACTGAGTACTGTACAGACTGCTCATTGCCCTGTACTACTGTGACTCAAGTGATTTTTCTTCCCTCCCCTTCAGCTTGTCGATTAACAGGCAGACCCGGTAAGAACTGTTTGCTGTATTCCCTTTATGTTTTTGACCTTATAATTTTTTTTGGGCACATTCTATATGAACAAATGTGTGTGTGCATGTAACAGAATAAAAGAAAATTAAGAAAATTACATACTGTATATCTACCCGAAATTACGAGCTCAGCCTCATCCGCTGAGTGCTACAGGGTGGCGAGTCGGCCAGGCGACTCAGCTACACAATTATGTGCCATCTCCAGATATTATTCCTCGTTATCGCTTGTTTAAAATATAATTTCTCGTTTCTGTTCGCTCACCGATCAAATCACTTAGCAACATGTTTTTTAGGAAAGCATCCGGTTTAACGTTAAACGGCGCATCCCTGCATAGGCAAGTGGTAATAAATTATATGAAGTGAAGAATGAAATGCAATTACCACCCAACAAACCAGACTAATTGGGAGATGAGGGGGTTCACATTTAGCATATTTTCTGGACACACACTCAGCATATTTCCTTAGCCAACTGATCTATGAATAAAACAGGGCATATAGAAATGCGTGATACGCTAGTAATGTCACGAAGCTTTGAAACTACAACCACTAATTCTGAGCAACCTGTACTCACATGTACTAAGTTAATTACTAAAATTATTATGTATGGTGCAAAATAAAGGATGTTTATACTCAAACTAATCGCTATCTTACAAGAATTCCAGCAATGCAAGTTATCTTCTCATTTGTCAAGTCTGTGACATTTTATAAGCCAAAAAAATTAAACCCTCTGCCTTTCATAATCCTTGAGCAAGCATTAATCTCTCCTCCTGGCTGTCAGCACCCCCAATCGGCAGTGAGGGAGCAGACAGTCAACGATTAATGGGATGAATTGTTTTAGGCTTAAAGTTTTCTTTTATAAAATGTCACAGACTTGTCTAAGAGAATCTAACTTGCATTGCTGGAATTTTTGTAAGATAGCGATTAATTTGAGTATAAACATCCATTATTTTGCAAAAGAGAGATAAATTTTTTAGTCCTTTAGCATAGTATATTTAGTACAAAATGAGTACAGTAATATGCTGCTCAAATTTATGGCTTTATCACAGGGAAAACTGGTCAGGATATTATGGTAACTAATGTTACAGAGTATTTCAAACAAATTCTTCTACCGGCACCCTTCACTTACAGTAAAATACTTATTTTTACCTTCAAATTGAGCTTGTCATTTAAGGATATGATCTTGGAAACGTCTCATAGAGGATCATTATGGTATCAAATTCATCTCTAACACAAATACAGTAAAGATTATAACGTTTGCTGTGAACTAAGAGGAAGAGGGAGAAGGGTCCATTGGGGGATAAAGGTGACCGTGCCATCCCCCTCCCCCAAAGGGTCACCTCTCTCTCTACTGTACTGGCTCATTCATGATGCAATATTGCTTAATTGTTTTTCATTAATTAGTAAAGATATGTTACTGTAGTAATCCCCGTAATTTTTTTTTTAGGGGTTCGGGATTGACGGTTAATCGAGGTTTTACTGTATATTCTTTAAATAATGCTTATGAATGCACCTTATTCAATAGTAAATGAATAATATGGTCACACAAGGAGATAAGAAGCCATTGTTTTCATTTGTGTTTACAGCTGGGAGTCTGGGACAATAGTTCTACACAAGAAAATTAAGAAAATAAGACCCTGGTTGTAGCTGTTGTAAAATTAATATACAGTATAGTGGGGTATGCTATAACGAATCTAATTGGTTCTAGAACATTGTTTGTTATAGCATTCATTCGTTATAGGATTAATCCGTTCCAGGCCCCCAAATACAACCACTTAACACTGAAAAATATAATATAAAATTGTAAAAACGTGCATAAATATGCATTTAAACCCCTGAAATAAAGAATATCATTAATACTTGCAATAAAAAACAATAAATTAGTTAAAAAAAAAAAAATTAAATAATGTTTGTTGTAGGAGTTTCGTTCGTTATAGCATTCTCAATTTTATAGGTAAAACCGTTCGTTATAGGAATATTCGTAGTAGGATCCGTTCGTTATAGCATATCCTACTGTATATGTTTTAAGTAACGTTATTTAATGTTAATAAATGGAACAATAGAAGTAGCTAACCACTAATGGCAAAAAAAAAAAAAAAGATGGATTGGGAACACCAACGTATATGTCCGCATTTAAGGATACCGCGTCATTTATCTTTTTAAGAATATGTACAAAAGATTCACTATTGTTTATTACTGAATATGTATTTTGATTGAATTAATCTTTATATATGCAAAATGAACAATACAATTCATTAATAATACGTATAATATTAAAACACACAAGAGGATAAGAGACGGCATTGTTGTCAGTGTTTACACCCATGTCAGTTATCCACCTAAAACTGAAGAAAATAAGACCCTGGTTGTTGTTGTAGTAAAACTAATGTAAAAAATATGTTTTAATTAATGTTATTTAATGTACAGTACAGTAGAAGTAACCACATATTAAAGAAAACGTGAGACCAGTAGTGGAACGCCAATGTATACGTGCACACTCAAGGAAACATAGTCATATATCTTAGGAATATGTACAAAAGATTCATTATTGTTTATTACTGAATATGTATTTGATTGAATTAATGTTTATATGTGAAATGAACAATGCAATTCATTAATAATACGTAGAATATTAAAACACACACGAGAAGACAAGACGGCGTTGTTTTCGTGAGTGACAATGGTTCTACATAAGAAACTGAAGAAAATAAGACCCTGGTTGTAGTTGTAGTGAACTTAATTTAAAAAAAAAAATAATAGCTGTATGTATGTTTTAAGTTATGTTATTTAATGTTAATAAATGGAACACTAGAAGTAGCAAACCACTAATGGTAAAGAAATAAAGCGAGACGATTGGGAACGCCAACAAGCATATCGTCATTTCTCCTCATATGAATATGAAAGCAACACTTATTTACTGTTCATATATGTGCAAATTTTAGAGAAAAAATGACATTTATACCCAAAAATGCAGGAAATTGGTATAAATCAATGTCTGGTATATGGCAAATAAATTTAATCAATTTGGTTACTAAACAGCAAATTTAGATATGTATTACATATTCAGATAATATCAAACAAAATAGTACAAAAATAAGCTATATTGCATTCAGGAAATACTCCTATACCTCAATACATAATATGTCCGCATGTCGTCTCATTTGGGGAAGTTTTTTCAAGGCAGTGGGATATCCCCGCTTGTCGCATTTAATTAATATAATATTTTGGGCGGGTTTACCCGCATGTCGCATCCAAAGGGTTAAATAATATTTACGAATGTAAAAAAAAAATTCTATTCACCAATGGTGGTAAAGTCTAAAACATAAGAACAGCCAATGAATACTGTGCGAGTTTTTACTCAGATGACGAAGTC